GAAACCTTTGCCCCAAGTGGCGAGAGTGCCATTGACCGACTTAATTGATTAAACAGCGAGCAAGAGAGAGAGACAGAGAACAAAAAAAGCCCTGAACCGTCTAATATTCCAACATCCTTCTCCCTCTGCCGTGTTGTTGGCTGCTGGCTGATGTTTGACTGGACAAAGTTAATGTAACCGGTTGAGCTCCAGCTGCATTGGTAACACACAGCGCTGAGTACGCCTGGGGGTAAACAGTGCATTGACTGTTAATAATGTTTGGCCTGTTCCAGTGCACAAGTAGCCTTCTGGAGCTATTGCAATTACAGAGTGCACGTTAGCGAGGAGGGCCAAGCGTGCCCAACGTAAAGTGTTCCGAAATCCTTTCACAGCCTAATTGACTCTTCCACTAGTGCCTGTTCCTCAATGGCCCATCTGGGATTGCATGTGTGTCAGGGCAGGGGGTGGGGAGCAACAGCTCTTCCAATGACAACAATAATCCACGTGTTCGATTTACAAACCGGGAACATCTCAAAGCGCTTTAAAGGGGAACTTGCTGCCAAGTGTAGTGACTATGTTTTTGGGAAACCGTTCTTGCGTGTAGCGAAGGTCCCACAAACGGATGTGAAGTGAATGACTTATTTGTATGTGTGTGTATAGGATTGTAGACCAAGAAACTGGGAGAAACTCCCTTCTCTTTTCTAAATGGAATCTTTCACTTCCGCTGAACAGCCTGGCGAGAGCTTGGTTTAACCTCTCATCTGAAATTTGGGGCCTCTGACAATGCAGCGACTTTCTCTCCCTCTCCAGTACTGCAGTGGAGTGTCAGCCTGGACTGTGAGCTCAAAAGTCCCAGATTGAGGCAGTACATTTGCAGTCTTCAGGCCCTCGGCTGTGTCAGTGACCCGTTTTGCTGGAATAATTGGAGCTATCAGCAGTCTGAGAGTTCACCACAGTGCACATTACAATTGCTGTCCTCTGGCTTAAATGGCAATAAAATTTTTAATGCACAGCGATAAGGAGCTCGGAAAATTTCATATATCGTTGCGTTAGATGGATGGGAGATGGATAGAACAGCAGTTTTTTTTTTCCAGCACCTCAGTCCTGCAATCTCTTCGCCTTCTTTTTCCACCTTCTTTCCCTCCCTCTCTCTCTCCCTCCCTCCCTCCCCTAAACCCTCGCCAGCGACCTCAGTTAAAATGCTCTGGGACCCTCTATTATGGCTCTAAACCTTTTTTGCTGTGTCTTATGAGACGTTGATGAGTTGTGAAAGGAGTGCATTCCGTGAGAGGATGCCAGTATAAACTGAGCTGCTTTGGCAGAGGTGAGGCCGCTAATGTCTTTTAAAAGGAGCTTCGTCAGTCACGCGATGGGGAGACTCACAATCTGCATCCTCGGGAGACAGAGAAAACGGAGCTCAGTGAAAGCGTGCCTTAAAAGCAACTGCATGTTTCCCAAATTGTTCACTTCAAACAGCAGGTTGCTCCCAAGAGCTTCATTACAAGAGGCATAAAAATACAGTAAATACCACAGGTCCAAAATTCTCAGTGGTCTCAGCCTGAAGACCACACGCACTGTCTTAAAAATGTTAAGACCAGGCAGATTTTTGGACAGTTCATTTTGTTTCAGGCTTCATTGTGTTAGTCTGTCAGATTGTAGTACTTTGGCCTCCGAGTCTAAAGATTGTGGGTTATAACTTTTATTATACTTTGGAAGTGGCTTTCTGTACGTTGCCAAAGGTGCTGAGTCTCTAGTAAACCACCAACGGAGCCTGTGGCCCCAGATTTAATAATAATAATCCTTGAGTTTGGTACAGCGCCTTATCACGTTGTTGAGACGTCTCAAAGCGCTTCACAAGATATATTGTAAAGTGGAGTGACTGTGTATTTTGTGTTCCAAACACGGCAGACAATTGCTCACAGCAAACTCTTAACTTCAGCCTCCCGTACCGATGGGGCCTGTGCGTCTGTCACCAAATTCACAGTCACTACACTTCAGCAGAAATTACACACAAGGAGCTTTTGAGACGTCCCAGTCACTGCATCAAACGCAAGGATTGTCATAAGTTCCAATTTGCAAATACTCAGATCCGGCAAATGCTGATCGCAGAGCGCAGCAGTACCGGACAGAGCGGATAATGAACGCTTCAGGTAAAAGAGCCAACCTTGCAGTAGCTTGGGTTGGTTTCTGGGTTCTGAAGGCAATTCCCAAGGGTTACGTGGCAAGGAATTTGAGGAGGGAAGGTTTTGAAAAGCCCAGCAGTCATGTAAGAAACCCAACTGTACTTTTATTCTCAGCGTCTTCAAATCCCTGGCGTCTGGTACCGACATCAGCTGAATGTCATGTGCTCTGATGTGTGCCCGCCCGCACACATCGACCCGTGACTCTCTCAGTGTAAAGTGATGAAGCACTCATCCCCCAGGGTGTGGTGAGGGTGAGGTTGATGGGAGAAGGAGTGCGAGGAGATGGGAGGAGCAGGCACGGGATAGGCAGCGAAATAATAACTATTTATTTGTTCAACATTCTTGTGATTGTGGTGGAAATTGTCAGGAGAGATTATCACACAGAGATGGACATAAGCGCGAGCCTGGGAATAAGTAGCTGTCTAGCTGCCCTAGCTACCTAAGGTGTAATTATTCAAGCTGGGGTGGATGGGGGTGAGGAGTGGTGGGGGGGTTTCTGCCAGGATCTAGCAGAACATGTAGCTGAACCATTAGTTTCCAATTACACTATGTGACGGTTCTCAGAGATCTCAAAGTCAGCGTCTTGCCAGGGGATGCGATACGCAACAAGGCAACTGCGGGAAATGGCAGGCCTGTGACTTGTATTGGCTTGTGTGCCGTTATTGGAAGAAGAAATAAGATATTTTGAGCGAGGCAAACGGAGCCAAGAGACCTGCACATCAACGGGAGCAACGGGAAACAGGGAGTTGCATTCCAATCGCTCATGCAAATGATTGGACTTTTCTTGCCCTAATGAGCCTCAACGCTCTCCTCGGTCTTAATCCCAGTTCATCCTCGCTCGCGCATCCATTTTCCCTTTCCCCCGCCAGATCTTCGAAGCTCATCAGTGGCGCGCAACGTGCAATGCAATTTGTTCCCCAAATGTTGCCCTTTAGTGCGTGATTGTGAATTGGCGATGCGGAGGAGGATTTATTCCCTTGTTTTAGGGGGAGTTTGGGGGCAGCTTATCAAAGGAACAAATTGGTATTTTGAGAACGATCCTCTCTTGCTAAAGCGATGGCGTTGTTCTTCGAATGACTGAATAACGCGCAGTCCTGGCAGAGGAGCAATTTAAACACAAACTCACAGGGTGTTTAATTAATTTTCCCTTCGTAATGTCTTTAAAATTGGATTCCTGCCTTCCCCCTCAGTGTGAATTATTCCACTGTTTTAAGAGCCCATTTTTTTTTCCCGGAGGAACATACGAACAGGATTAGTCCACTCAGCCCCTCAAGCCTGTTCTGCCCTTCTGTTAGACCATGATACCTCAACTCCTAATTTGCCCCATAGCCCTTGATACCCTTACCTAACAAAAATTGATCCACCTCAGTCTTGAATATTTCAATGGATCTAACATCCAGGCTGAACGAACGCAGCTGCATTGTCTAACGCCCCTCTCCCCCACCCATCTCCCTCCATTCAAATCTATGGCAAATTGAGAGTGATCATCCAAAGCCATTGTTCTTACATTTGAAATGATGACATCTTTGAGAAACGGGACAATAGGGTGAAACTTGGGGTGTTCCATCTGTCATAATGTTCTGTCGTTCTCGGTCATATTAATAATCCTTGCATTTGATATCGTGCCTTATCACATCGTTGAGACATCTCAAAGAGCTTCACGGAATATATTGTATCTTGGGGTGAAACACAGCAGCCAATTGCACATTTCCCCCTGTTGCTACATGAGTAGTTAATTCTCTTAAAGAGGAATTGGGCTTTTGAGCAATTCCGTTTGAGTGGCTTCCCACCGTGACATCAGAACCTCAGCGTAGTATAGTGGTAAAGCTATCAGACAGGTGGTACTTCACTAGAATAGACACGGCGACCTGACCCAGCCCGACCAGTCAGGGCAGTGATGAGATCAAGGGTCCAGTTAATTTACGAGCCATAATTACATTCTGCGCAGTGGTACATGATGACCTGGCACTGAGCTCGGAACGTTATATTGGAAAGACTGAACTGTAATTTATGGACATAGGCCCCACATAGTTGGGTACAAGCCAGTGGGAAATTTGGGTGGGCTCCCATTGAATGGCCTCTCCTATCCAGTGACAGAACACAACCTGTCCTAGGATCCTGGGGAGAGTGGGATCAGCGTCATAGTAAATAGAATGGTAATAATAATAATAATCCTTACACTTTTGTATAGTACCTTCTCACGTCGGGAGAATGTCCCAAAGTGCTTCACATGGTTTATTTGTGATGTGCAGTGACTGTGTATTTTGTGAGCGAATGCGGCGCACAGCAATGTCTTACAAACAGCCACGATGTGAGCGACCGATTTTATCTAGTTTCAGCTTCTTGAACCGGACACCGGGGGAGAGAGAGAGACTCACTCCCTTCTCTTTTCCAATAGCACTGCGGGATCTTGCTTGTGTTTTCTATGTAGACCGGCTCCTCCAACTTGTCAGAGGGCCAAGATATAGTTGGCCAGAAATTGGCGATGAGCTGTATTGGCAAATATCAGAGTATTTGCTTGCTTGGGACTGGAGGTGTGTGTCAGTATGTGAGGTAGAGGTGTGTGTATGCGTATATGTTTTAGGGGGGTAGGGGTGTGTGTGCGTGCGTCTGTCCAGCGTATTTGTTTCCCAGCTCTGTGGTAACCTCACCTGATAGAAGAAACCACCCCCCCCCACCCCCCCGGGGCATCTCATAGGTTACTACTTTGGCGAGAGAAGGAAAAAAAGAGAGAGAGATGGATGGTTACAAGTAGAATTTACTGCTGTACAGTGGAGAGCTTTCAGTGGAGGGATTGAACTGTTCTATCTAAAGCCTTTGTTCCTGTGTTTCTCCCAGGTATGAGCCATGAGCCGAAGTCGCCCTCACTAGGAATGCTCTCCACTGCGACCCGGACCACGGCTACCGTCACCCCGCTCAACCCTTCCTCCCTCAACGGCACCATCGTGGCCAATGGCAGCCTGGCGCCCAGCAGCGCCCTGTCCGTGCCATCGGCCCAGTCTGCCAGTTTTGCCGCTGCCCTCCGCAAGCTCGCCAAACAAGTCGAGGAGCCCAGAGGTGAGTGGGGACGAGCGCAAGAGAGAGAGAGAAGAGCAAAGAATAATAATAATGATAATAATAATTATAATCGTTGCATTCGGTACAGCAACTTATCACGTCGGGAGGACGTCTCAAAGCGCTTCACGGGAATTGTTTTGAAATGGAGTGACTGTGTATTTGTAGGCGAATGCTGCAGCAACAATTTCGCACCGCAAAAGAATAATCCTCGCACTTGATATTGCGTTGTCGAGACGTTTCAAAAGACCAATTTTATTATGGGGGGGATAGTTGGCCAGGACACCGGGAGAAACTCTCTCCTCTTTTTCAGTAGCGCCATTTAACATCCACCTGAACAGGCATAGATAGACCGGCCCTTTGTTTAATGCTCATCCCAACGGCACCTCTTCGACAGAGCAGCACTTCTCCAGGACTGCACTGGGAGTGGTCTAAAAGCAAGTGTCGTGGCCTATAAGGGTAGCCAGGTTATATCAAGTGGTGCACCATTCACTCTTCCAATGGCCAAATGTGGGGGTGGGAGTGGGGGAGGTGGAGGGAGACATCCAGCTTTTGCTGAATTTCCATCCTGTTATGAGCTCCGGCTTTGCCAGATTCGCAACAGACATATGTAGATTCTATTACCAGAAAGACTTCAAAATACTTTTATCTGGAAGGCACAGTTTGAAATTCAATTCATCCTAAGTAATCTAAATGCCATATCGTTTGTTGTACCCTCAAGAGCTTGTTTGAATAAAAAAAAAGCTGTCCTTTTCAATATAGTTACATTCTGATATGCTTCATTGATATTTCATCTGTCCCTAGGCTTTACAATGTGTTGTTCTAGCACTGAGCATCACGCTGCTCCAATAATGAATCTCTTTCCGTTCCTTTGCGCGAGGTTGAAATGAACTCGTCGGTCATGTAAGTTAGGGGGCAGGGATTTTCACACGTGTTGTGTTGTGCTCTGTAGCGTGTCTTGTCCTAAACTGACCGTGTCTAGCCGGGCAAGCGCAAAATATCGTCTGGAATAAAACCTGGCGAGACCGAGCTTGCAATCGCTTTGGGTCGGATGTGGGACGTGTACTGCCCTTTCAACAAATAACCAACCACTGTTAAAAATCGTTCTGCGCTGTATATGCTTTGTGGAGTCATGTAGCGCCGTGGTTAGCGTGCTCGCCTCACTGAGCAAGAGGACCCGGGTTCGATTCCCAGGTGGGGCGAAACCTCAGGCAAGTTTCCTTATTCCACACACGCTCTGTTTACTTAGCAGTAAGTGGAAACCCGGTTGTTAGTCGATTGGCGGATTCCTTTCTGGGGGCAATAATATCTCCCCGCCCCCCCAAAAAAAAAAATCCATAACAGTTTATGAAGCACTGCCGTGCGCAATTGGCCTGCCCCCCCCACTCCCCTTATGCCGCACAGTGTATATAATCCACGTGGAAGCTGAGCCATTCTTCCCCCCTCTTCCCCCCCCCCCGTTAATTAGAATTGTAGATTGAATTATTCTGCGCCTCCTAATTTGCACACTGACATCAGATTGTGGCTCGCCTCTCGCTTTGCATATTTTCACGCTCCATCTGTTTGCGAGGGGCCTGCCAAGGCTTCGTCACTGCTGCTCTGCTTTCCAAATAAAGCAACCCACACACGCGAGCAACTCTGAAACGCGGCTGTGACTGAGAGCCCAGGATTCCCCTCCCCCCCCCCCCCCCCCCCCCCCCCCCCCCCCCCCCCCCCCCCCACCCCCCCCCCTCCCCCCCTTTTGAAGCGTGTCGTTTTTTAAAAATGATACGGAAACCTTCTAGCTCGCTTTAAATTACTTTTTTTTCCCCCAGAAAACCATTTTACTCCCCCCAACCACCCCCCCCACCCCACGCCCCAAATTTAGCGCGTCGTCAAAGCTGCTTGCGGCGTTAAAAGGCGAGTAGAGTTTCTCCCCAGGTGTCCTGGCCGACAATCCCCCCACTCCCTCCCCCACCCCTCAGCCACTGGATTAGATAGGTCATCCGCTCGATTGTGGGACGTAGCTGCGCGCAAGTTGTCTGCCACGTTACGCCTACAAAACACACAGTCCCTGCACTTTACAATAAAATCCTGTTAGAGACGCGAAATGGAGGCAGCCTCGGCTCGATGTCGCCGCCGCTGATTGCCTGTTGTTGAGAGACCCAAAGGCTCGAGACACCAGACCGTGCGTGATTTTCAAGGCGTTTAAAATGGCGGAGTGATTCGCTCCCGGAGTCATCAACGTGGGCCTGGGCTTTCCAGGCCGACTCCTCGTGTTTTTTGTGCAACTGGGCGGCAGAGCGTGAAGATAAAGCTCCCGCTTTCATGCTCGCAGATGGCAGGATGTCAACAATGTGCCTCTGTGCTCTGGCGCCCTGCCCTGTACAATGATCCATTTTGACTCTTGAATAGTCACCTCGCAACACATTCACAGCACTTTTATTTGATTGCTTGTCGAGCGGAGGGGCAGTGCTGCAGAGGGGAAGAGGAAGGAGTGGAGGTGGGGGGGTTCGGGGGGGGGGGGGTGTTGTAAAGTGCTCAATGTGCCGGGACCTCGTCCTGAACACAGACACCGAGCAGTAAATAACCAGGATTAACCGGGCGTTGACGAAGTGACTGCCTCTCTTGCCTGCCTGGCTCTCAGTGTGAGCCAGAGCCGGGTGACGGGCATCACCCAGACATGTCGCTCTCAATCGAAACATGTTCAATTAGCCGCCTGGATTTCCAACCACCAAAAGCAGGTCAATTAAGCGGGCGCACGTGTCCTTTCCAACCGCATGGGGGTGAGAATTAAACTTCTAAACTAAGACCTTTGAATCATTTAAATTCTGCTCTCATTTTAATGGTATTGATTAGCTTGCTATCACAGACTGAATTATGCCTCCAACTAACCCCGGGGATTAGTCTGCTAATTGTTGTTGGCCTAGCGCTGACAAGATACATTTCCCTGCTTTTGAACTGAAGTGAGCTCCTTTCTTTTTAACATGTACGTACATATATATATATATATATATACACACACACATATATATATATTATGTGGGACGTGTATTTTTTTCTCTGCTTTGAAACCTCTCTGAGGAAGCTCGCTCAACCTGCCTTCCGTTCAGAGATCTCGTGTCTCAGTGAATTTAAAAGCTTTTAAACCTATCCTCAGGGGAAGCTCATCTGTCTCCAGGTAGGCCCCGAATCACAGGTGCATTAAGGCATGTGTTTGATATTCCGCCTCATTAACTGTCTGCAGCTCGCTAACCGTGCTGTGCCCATATTTTTCCCTTGCCTTTGCGCTCGGCTAAAAGTTCTTTCTTGTTTTTTCTCTCTTCCCCCCACTCCCCTTTTTTTTTTAACCTGTGGAGTCCTGTAGTATAGAGGTTAGCGCTCTCGCCTTGCAAGCGAGAGGACCCGGGTTCGATTCCCGGGAGGGGCGAAACCTTAAGGCAAGTTTCCTTACTCCACAAGTCTCTGTTTTTCCAGTGGTAAGTAGGAAGCTGGTTGTTAGTCGATTGGCAGATCACTTTCTGAGGGTCGACCGCTTGTGGGACACTGTTGTGGCAATTGGCTACCAAGTTTTACCTACAAAATACACAGTCAATCCACTTTACAATATATTGTGTGAAGCGCTTTGAGACATCTCAACGATATGATAAGGTGCTATATGAAATGCAAGGATTTTTACTGTTAATAAATTATTCTCGGGTCATTGCTATGTGCAAAATGTGACAAAAATCATCAGAAGTCCAACCTTGCCTTCGCCTCGTTGGTGAAAAATGTGTTTTTTCTTCTTCCAGGTTCTTCGATAAGCAGCGAATCTTCACCGGTCTCTTCTCCGGCCACCAACCACAGCTCTCCGGCCAGCACACCCAAGCGAGGCCCGAATGGGCCCATCCGCGTGGCCCCCAGCTCTCACAGTGTCCCCAGCACTACCCCCGTGGTGACCATTGCTCCCACCAAAACTGTCAATGGGCTTTGGAGAAGTGAAAGCCGACAGGTGAGTACGCAGAGAACAAGGCCAGTGACACAGACAAACCCATGGACTCCATTAACAATAACAACAACAACTTGCATGTTTCTAGCGCCCACCCCCCCCCGACGCAGGCTAGTGTCCCCGAGTGCTCTACAATACATTCTGTGAACAATAAGCCATAGGTTTGAGGCGGCACCTTTCATACGAGGAGGACATCTCAAAGCCTTTCACACACACGATCGATTCACTGACAGACAGAGGGTGAGGGAGGGGACGAGGTGTGGGGAAGGGAATGGAGCCCCCGGTGCATTCATTCCAGACAGAATCTGCCACTCATTCTCCATTCTCTGCGACTCGGAATGGGTGAGAAGCCATTCGTGTGACTCTCTTTCCCCGCCAGCTCCTCCATGATTTGTTGTGGTCGTGTTTTGTAAACAGAGACGGCCGAGTTATTACTTCCCCTCCGCAAAAAAAAAAAATCCTCCCTTGTTCTGGCTGGGTTTTGTGCTCATTGCCTCTGAACTTTGATTTTGACTTATCTTGACGTTTTTGAACCACTTTTACGCATCGCCAGACATCTAGGGTGCGAGGCAAGATGAAGGGACTCATCCCCGTGCATGAAAAATGCATTAGAACCATTTTATCCTTTTAGAAAGGAAAGGGGGCCTGGGAGAGATTGTGCTGACTGGAGCATTGCCGAGAGAGAGAGAGAGAGACAGAGAGACAGAGAGAGAGAGAGAGCTCAAATGAGGTGGAGCAACATACTGGCTCCGAAATAACATTACTGACATTTAATATTACATGTTAGCACAGCCCGGTCACAGAGGGTCACCAATTATGAGCCTGCAAGCCTCCTCTCAGCTCGTCAGTCTCGGAGACAAGAAATGGTTCATAAAATGTGATCTGCTTCAAATGTGAGCACACCACCCCCCCCACACACACACACACCAACACATACTTACAATCCACCTCCTTCTTTCCTTCCCCCGTCCGTCAAATTGCTTGTCAGCAGTAAGAAGTAATTTTGATTTAACCAGGGCACAGCTGATGACAGCGGAACCCAGCCTGGCTCAACGGCAGGACCTGGAGGGGCAGATTGGTCACTGGGGGCAGGGAATTCTCCCACTCAGTTCCTGCTAACCCTGCAAGCCAAAAACCCTAATGGGTAGGGTGTTCCCGGCTGGACAAGCAGCGGGAAGGCTTGCCCGTAGTGCGATCAATGGGAAGCTGAGCATTTTTAGCTGGTTATAGACTCCCAGCAGTTACCCCAACGCACACTCCGGCAATACTTTCTGGAATCAGCTAAGCAGGATCGAAAAGCGGGGGTCTTGAGACGGGCCTTGAAGGAGGCCAAGGGAATGGAGTGAGGGAGGGGAGGGGGCGAGGCAGGTGAACAAGGTTTGAGGGTTTGGGTTTAATGTGGGGGTTTTTGCCTTTCGCAGCCCGAGCCAACGCCCAGGGGTCCCAGCAGAGACCGAATGCACGTGGAATCCCAGCACCAGCAGGAGAAGGGGGGTCCATCAGTCACTTCCCACCTCCTGGGCCCTCACTACGCGTTCAGCCTGACGCCCAGCGCCATGGTGCAGGACTCCCGGTTCCCTCATCTCAGGTGAGACACAGCAGAGGATTGCGGTTACAAGGGACTTGCGATAAAATAAGAGAGGGTCGGGTCACTGGTTAGCAAAACGACAACAACTTGCATTTATATAGCGGCCCCTCATGCAGGCTAGCGTCCCGCAGCGCCTGAGAGGGGGGGAGGAAGGGGAGAGGTGACCGTAAACTTTAATGTGGGCAACACAAATATTAACCGCAGCCCCAAAAAAAACACTGGATAAGATCAGTCCTATTTGTAGGGCATGGGGTGATTTCTAGGGTCAAAGGGAATGTATATTGTTTTTAAAACAGAAAAGATAAGAGATCGATAGAAGGTTTCAAAAGGAAAGATTTGCAGGGCTATTGGGGTAAGAGTGGGGGAAGTGGGACTTAGTCGGTAGCTCTTTCAAAGAGCCGAGACAGGCACAGGATGGGCCGAATGGCCTCCTTCTGTGCTGTAAGATGCTAAGATTCTCTGAAGGTGATGTGTAACAGTGTATCAGCAAAGGCTTATGCTTTTTTTTTTTGATTCTGCCAGTCTCCAGCGTCCGGTTCCTCACATGGTAGCTCCTGGCAGCGTTCCGGAAGAATACCTCCGCGGCTTCCGGCCTTACCACACGGGAGAGGAGCTTCGCATGCCCGCTCTGCCGCCCCTGGGTCTCGACCCGGCCACGGCCGCCTATTATCACTCGAGTTACATGGCTCACCACCCGTTCCCTTTCAGGTAAGAGACACACCTGCAGCCCACAACGGGGAGCGAGCCATTCAGCCCCTCGAGCCCATCACGCCACGGCTGATCCAATTACCTGCCCTTGCCCCGGATCCCTTGATACCATGACCTAACAAATATCTATCCACTTTGGTGTGAAACTTTGAATGGATCCAACATCCACAGCCATTTGGTGGGGTTGGGGGGGGAGGGGTGGAGCAGAGTTCCAGATTTCCACGACCCTGTTGTCTTTTTTTTGTTCTAAAAAAAAATCTTTGTCTGAAAATATAGTTCATTCACCAGAATGATACCAGGGTTAAATTACGAGGACAGGTGGCATAAAATTGCCCTGTGTTCCCCTTGGGTTTACAAGGTTTGAGGGGGTGAGCTGATTGAGGTGTTTAAAATGATAAAGGGGATTCGATGGGGTAGCTGCAGAGAAACTCTCTCCTCAGAAAGGGGGTCAGTTCTGTAAGCGCAACCAAGTTGAAGCATCGTTTTTGTCTGATTACCATTGGTTCTCGGTCTCGCAGGATGGAAGACTCCTACTGCCTCTCAACCTTACGGTCACCTTTCTACCCCATCGCCACGCCTGCCTCTCTGCCACCTCTGCACCCATCCACCATGCACCTCCACCTGCCCGGGATGAGGTTCCCGACTGACCTGTCTCACGCTGCCATGCAGTCCGAGCGCCTGTCCGCTGAGAGGTAAACCCACTCTTTCTTTGTGTCTTTTCTAAAGCCTTGTTTCCAGCAGTTACCCCGCCCTCTCCCCCCCTCCCACCCCCACAACTCCCCCAAACCACATTCTGGGGATTCTCCCAAGCCTTGGCTCTCGCCAACTCGCGCCTAATGTCTCAGCCTGGCTCAGCCGGTAGCTGCGCACTCTCACCTCGGAGTCAGAAGGTTGTGGGTTCAAGCCCCACGTTTGGATATGAGGTGAACGTATCCTTTTGGATTGTTATGTTGAGACCACATCGAGACCCGTAGCTCAGTGGTTAGAGCGCTCGCTTCGCACGCGAGAGGACCCGGGTTCGATTCCCGGGCGGGAAGAAACCTTAGGCAAGTTTCTTTACTCCACACACCTCCTCTGTTTACCTAGCAATAAGTAGGTTGTTGTTAGTCGAATGGCGGATCGCTTTCCGGGGGCATTAATCTCTCCAAAAGAAAAAAAAATGCGGTCACGCAATCCGCAACTGTTTATGGGACACTGCTGTGCGCAATTGGCTGTCGTGTTTCGCCCACAGTCAATTACATTATATTCTGTGAAGCGCTTTGAGACGTCTCAACAACGTGATAAGGCGCTGTATCAAATGTAAGGATTGTTATTGATATCATTATTATTATTACATTACAGCCGTGACTCGTCTGTCCGTTATCTTTCCCTCAGGCTTCAAATAGACGAGGAGCTCCGCAGGGAGCGGGAAAGAGAGAGGGAGCGCGAGCGAGAAAAGGAGAGGGAGAGGGAGCGAGAGGCAGAGAAGGAGAGGGAAAGAGAACTGGAGCGGGAGAAGGAACTTGAAAGGGAGCGGGAGAAGGAGCGGGAGAGGGAACGGGAGCGAGAGCTGGAGAGAGACCGGGAAAGGACCAGGGAGAAGGAAATGAACGCGGCCAAAGCGCTGGAGAGTCACTTCCTGCAGGTCCCGGAGATTCCCAGCCTGCGCAGCCAGCAACTGGAGGAGAGAATAAAAGCCACAGAGAGACTGACACCAAATCGCACAGGTAAACAGCACCACTTTCCTACCTCTCAACACCCACCCCCCACATAGCCCAAGGCCGCCTGTCTGTATTGCCTTAAAAGAATGTTAAGTGTGGCCCCCTCCCAACCCCCCACCCCACCCCCACTATTCTACAGGACTGGTGGATTTGTGTGGCATCGTGGTTAGTTCACTCGCCTCACATGCGAGAGGACTCAGGTTCGATTCCCGGGCAGGACGAAAGCGTATGCAGGTTTCCTTGCTCCACACCTCTGTTTAGCTATCAGTAACTAAGAACTTAGTTGTCAGCCAATTACTGGATCACTTTCTGGGGGTAATAATCCCTCACAAAGAAAGTTTGCTTACTTAATCCACGACTGTTTGAGGGACACTGCTGTGCACAATTGGCTGCCGCCAATTTGTTCACAAAAAACACAGTCGCTCCAGTTTACAGTATATTCTCTGAAAGGCTTTGAAACGTCTTGACGACGTGATAAGGCGCTCCATCGAATACAAGGTTATTACTGTTGTACACTGACCTCGGGCTCCATCACTGCGAGGTGGTCCAGACCAGAAGTCATGAGTCTGATCTGAGCAGAAACTCCATTTAGTAAGGCCTGAGTGCTGTCAAGTATTTGATATCCTTGAACTTTACTTGCACGTTAATCACCTTTCAGTTTGCAATCTTCTCCTGTCTGTGTGTCGGGGGTGGGGGGCGGGGGGGCGTAGGCTGAGCACTATCCCTGCACATCTCCAGCGCCGATGCCTGACATTTCCCGAAAGGTCACTCCACGAGTGTGTACAAACAGATCTCGTTGTTCCACTGGTGTCTTTAAACCCAGCACAAAGGGCCCGTTATCCTGTCCTCGCTGTGTGGTAATCTGCGTAACAGTGGGGGAAGTGATGGCAGTGTGTGGTTCAGTACACTGGGAGCAAACGTGGACCATTCATTCATGCGGGCAAAACAAGTCGACACTGTGGTCCCATTCATGGAGTATTGCTTACAATCTGCCATTGTCTGTAATGAGTACATATTAACGTGTAAACCACTAACGGAATTAAAGTCTGGACCACACCGACGCCCCAGGCTGTACGTAGCCTTTGGACTTAATGCCTCTGATCAGCTGAATTTCTGACTCCTGCCGCCTGGTTTGAATTTATAATCGGAGGCACAGAATTTCTCTTTCTCTCTCTCGCTGTCGGCCCTTAATCTTCAGGCGTGTCGGTTTGTCCTTGCACTTGTTACAGCGCCTTTCAGGCTGGATGGATATCTCGAAGCGCTTCACAAGATTTACTGTAAGCTGTAGTGACTGTGTGTTGTGCAGGCATCCAATTTGCGCACGGCGACGTTCCACAGGCGGATGTCTCAACAACGTGATAAGGCACAATATCAAATGCAAAGATTATTATTATTATCAATCTAGATTGAGGTTCAATTCCTCCCCAAGTGTTACTAAATGTAAGACGATAAGGAATTTTAGGTCCTTCAGTGCTTCTGAAGAGTTACGTCCCCAGGGTTGACCTTAGTTTGCCCGTCACTGGGAGTGAGCTGTCATATGTCTCATTGGCATTGTCTACTCTTTAGGCCCGACTTCCACACTTTCTCTCTTTCCCTCTGTTAATTGGCTTTCTGGAAGCTTTTTGCTAACAGTCGCGATAAAGTGGCCGCTGATCATTTATCAAAGAGCACATTTGCTCCGTTTGACACCAGGCTGCAGTTGCCTCGGAGATTGCCGAGTGGGAAAGCGACATTTTTTTTCCTTTAATGAATGGAGAAACTCCAGGCAGATAACCCAGCGAGTCGATCAGTAAATCCTCCTCTGTCCTCGAGTGTCCAGCACAAAACCCGGGGTTTGAAATGGAATTTCGGATCTTTCTCTCTGTCGCCACAACTAACTCACCGAAGCTCACCAGAGACACTGTGCGCCACTTTGGAATTAATTAGCTTGTGGTTTCATCGTTGATTGTCGTGCTGTGATTTCACATTGGTGCCTCTTACCCATGTTCCCATGCCGGTACATGAACACAGAGACACATGAACACAAGTGCAGAGGGATTCACACATACACACACAATACGTTCACACATACACACACAATACAAAGGCACATGACTCACTTACACACACAGAGACACACACACGGGTGCATGAACACACACACACACACACACACACATACACAGGCAAGACACCTACACACATAGCTAGATATGTATAAGTCTGACCGCACACATACGTCACAGAATAAGAACAACAAATTGCATTTATATCGCGCATTTCACGTCGGGAGGATATCCCAAGACACTGGACAGTGAAGGGTTTGCACCCGACATGTGGGGTTCGGAGCCAAGAGGGGGTGGAGGACAAAAGGTGGGGGGGAGTGGGGGGGGGGGCATGGGTGGAGGTGGGGGGGTGACCGCAGGCGTGGTCAAAGAGGAAAGTCTAGAGACGGATCTTGGGTTGTGGGGGACGAAAGAGCAGTGTTTGCTTGACGTAATGGAAACCAATAACATTGCCCCTTCGCTTGCAGACAAGCCCAAGGATTTTGCACTGACGGGGCCCAAGGTGGTCCACCCGACCCTGCAGCAGTCCCCGGTCAGCCACCACTCGGTCCCCTGTCTGATTTCCAGCCACAGCAGCTTCCTGCTGCCCGGTGGCCCCACCATGCTGCTGCAGAGGACCAACGAGGAGGAGAAGTGGATGGCCAAACAGCGGCAGCTCCGCCAGGAGAAGGAGGACCGGCAATACCAGGTGTCCGAGTTCCGGCAGCAGGTTCTGGAGCAGCACCTGGACATCAGCCGGCCGGGACTTCCCAGCGAGGCCGAGCTTCGTGACAGCTTCAGGTAAGGCTTGTCACTGATCATCTTCCGCCAGTGAGGAGACAGGCTTCACACAGTGCTACACCACATATACACACACATATATACACCGTACACATATACACACCCACATGAACACACACACACACATACACATACCATACACCACATGCCCACCTATGCCACACCAACTTGCATCTATATAGCGCCCTACACACGGAGCAGCTTCTCGGAGCGCTTAACAGGGACGGAGCCTGACACCGAACCAGTGAGAGATGACCATAAGCACAGTCGAAGAGGTCTTCTGTCGTGATCTAAAAGAGGGACAGGAGGAAGCAAGGCGGATGGGATTGAGGGAGAGAGTTCCAAAAGCTTCGGGGAATAGTGGCTGAAAGTGCGGTGGCTGACAGTGGAGCGGAGGGGGTGAGGGACAAGTAGGAGGCCAGAGCCAGCCGAGTGGAAGCAGTGGGTAGTGGAGGGGGGAGAAAACAGGTAATATACACAGTACACACACTCACACACACAATACACACACTCACACACACAATACACATACACCAAGACAATAGCCTGAAAGTATAATCATGCTGCTGTTATTAAGATCACCTTTTAAATGAAATCTCTTTGCATTTGCATTCGCTTCCACTTTTTGAAATTGCATTCGCTGGTCTTTGAATGCTTTCTGCTGGTTTATGTTGATCGCACAGTTTCCCTTTCCCATTATATGTGTCAAAGCAGCTCTGCATCACCTCATTTTAGTAACTGGTAATAAACACGTGTCCTCGGCTATAGTTCTCTTCATGGGACTCAGATGTGACACTTGAGCAACGCAGAGCAAACAGGACCCAGGTTCTAACCCAGATATGTGCTAACAAGAGTGATCTCAGCTAAAGGCAATGTAGTAATTGGCTTCAGTGTCCCTGGGCTATAGAGATGGTGGGTAGGGAAGGAAGGGGGGAAGAAACAGAATCCAGTTCCTCGATCGAACAACAACAACAAGTACAAATTGCATTTTTGCAGCACCTTTCACGTCGGGAGGACGTCCCAGGGCGCTGACAATGAAAGGTTTGCACCTCGAGCTGCGGGTTGGAATCGAGGGGTGGAGAGCGGGGGTGGGGGTGAGGATGACCGAAGGTGAGGTCAAACAGGCTGTGAGGAGCAGGATTTGTGGGTGGGATTGTTATGGGGAGGGGGCGAGAGAGAGGAGGGGCTTTGGCGTGGATGTGCGGGTCCGCCTGACTGGAGAGCGGTGTGGGGGGAGCGATCGGAGGGAAGAGGATGGAAGAAGCGAGCTGACAGGCTTTTACCGCTTCTCTGGGGAGCGAAGTAATGCTTTCAGCCTTCAAGAAGAGCAGGAGGTTAATCTGCTGCTTATTAAAGCCCGGCGTTCATCCTAATCAAATACAGCGTTGCACAATAATGATGTGATCTGATAATTGCAGGCCGATTGGAGATCAGATGAAGGTAGCAGGTTTAAGGAGATGGTAGCACAGCCATGTAGAGAGGTTAGACTAGTGCAGAGCCTAACAGGTCTGTTACACTCTGGCCATTAAAAGCCCCCTCCACCCCCCCTGCGATGTCGTCTTATTTGAGTGAGCAACTGTAATTAGATACACTTGTAATCCATCTTGTGAGAACTTGGGGAGATTTGTCAACTGCTCTGTTTGGGTTCAGAAGTAGAGCGGATAGGAATGTTAATAATATAATTCAATAACGATGGGTATAATCCTTGCATCCATCCTTTGGATGCGACGCTATAAGATGAGTTCCCGTTTGCCTGTTCAGTTGGACGTTAAAACATCCAGCGGTGCTATTCCAAAAGAGAAGGGAGTTCCCCTCTCCCCGTGTCCTGGCTGACAATCCCCTTCAAATAAAATTCAGTCTCTCACTTCATGGCTGTGTTGGCCACTGCTGTGTGTGCAACTGAGAGCATATCCTGTGAAGCGCTTCGAGAGGTCTCCCATTTGACGTGCTTCAGGCGCCGTATCGAACGCGAGGATTAGTATGATTAATGTTTCTTCTCCTGAAAGCTGACGTCTTCTTTCTCGTTGCCCTTCTCCCCTGGCCAGATCGGGACCCAGCAATCACGAACACGGCGTCCGAGAGCAGCCCCCTCACCTGGGGGCCCCCCCTCCCCTCATCTCCCCCAAGCCCCAGCACAGGGAGTTCCACTCGACCGCCCTGTGGAACCCCATCACCTTGATGGACAGCCACAGCGAAGCCCGCCGGAGCCACGCGTTCAACAACCACCACCCAACCGGCCACTACGAGCCTCACCGGCAGCTGGCCAACGCCGTCAAGACCGAGAGACTCAACCACCACGAGGAGCATGGCAAGCGACGGGACCCGGCGGAGAAATACCAGCCCCTCCGAGGCCCCGGCTCCTTGGAGCCTGGAGCCGGCTACTCCTACGGACCCCCCTTTGCCGAACTGGAGAAGTCGGCTCAGTCCATCCTCCACCAGCAGAGGCTGTCGCTGCCTCAGTGCAGCCAATACAGCGACATGAACCTCCTGCGCACGCCCCCCTCCCCGTACCGTCACCAGCACGGACCCCCGCAGGCCCCCGCCCCCATCCCCGACCGGACCTACGTCTACGATGAGTTTCTGCAGCAGTACCGCAGGCTGGTGAGCAAACTGGACCTGGAGGAGAGGAAGCGGAAAGAGGCCAAGGAGAAAGGTGGGTCATCACAGTGTTGTACCGGAGGGGGAGGTGGGGGGGCTCCTGACCAGACTATCTCCGTCCACTAGGTGGCGTGTCCGCGCTCGCTCAGTAAAAACATAGAGGCGGGCAGGAGCGTTATTTACCGCAGTTTTGGACATTCTAAACATTTTTATTTCAAGATGCGTGAAATGCTCTGTGCGCTTGGCTTCGATTTCAATCAGAACCAATGCCGATGCCGCCTTATCGCCGCTTCCTCTTGTCTGTTTGATCGCGCACGAGAGCGCCACCTAGCGGCGACCATCTGGACTCGCATACGTGAGTTCATGTCGCACACTCCCGACATGTGTGGAGGGGTGGGGGGGCGCGGGGGGGGTTGGGGGGGCTTGAACCCGCAATCTTCTGTGACTCGGAGGAGGCGAGAGCGCTGGCGACTGAGCCTGGGATTGGGAGGGTGGTGGGGGGGGAATGCGGGTTCTGGTTCGTTAATTGGGGGATTGAGGTGAATTAATTGGGCGCTGAAGGGATGTGCTGATGCTGGAACAGCAACGTCTTCTGCCGCGTGCTGCCAAGAGCCATTTGTCACTTCGCCTGACGCTTTGCTTCCACACTCTCCTCCTAATTAGGTTATTACTACGACTTTGATGACTCGTACGATGAGAGTGATGAAGAGGACATTCGGGCTCATCTGCACCGAGTGTCTGAGCAGCCGCCTCTGAAACTCGACGACTCCTCTGAAGTAGGTAACACTTTACACTGTGCCGTCGCTGGCTGCGGCTAAAAATAGGCTCTGTCATGAGAGCCTTTTCAGAGTTGTGAGGTTTTTCTTTATTTTCGGCTGCATTTTTAATTTGATGTCCTTGAATATTTCACTATGTACGTGTGTGTAGGACCACAGGCCTTTTGGGGGAGAAAATTTCAGATTTCTTCCCCCCCCCCCCCCCCGCCTTGAGTGAAAAAATGCTTTCTGATTTCACTCTTAAATGGCCTATATAATAATAATAATAATCCTTGCATTTGCATTTTGACACCTATATTATTCAGTAAACCTGACACAAGCAGTTTTATTTGGGACCATACATTTATCGTGACTTACGCAAAGTATGAGTTGTGTCAAACTTGCATAGATTATAAACTGTTGAACGGGACTAGGGCAGATGTACGATTATATGACTTGTACAGATCAGTCTTACAACAGTACTCCTTCCATTTTATGTAGCGCCTTATCACATCGTCGAGATGTCTCAAAGCGCTTTGCAGAATATACTGTCAAGTAAATTGACTGTGTATTTTGGGGGCGAAACAATAGATAATGGTGTTTAAAAGCACATGAATTAAATGTATTCGGTGCAAGTGTTAACCTTTGTTCTTCTTGTCGAACCCGCCCTTTAGAAGCTGGACTTCCTGAGGATGTTTAGCCTGACCACGAGGGGCAGGAAGGAGGAGCTGTTGGCCCAGAAGCGAAGGAAGAGGAGGAGGATGCTGATGGAGCGAAGCCCATCCCCTCCCCCCATCCCCAGCAAACGCCCCAACCCCTCCTCCCAGCGCCCCCTGCACAGCAAGTACAGCTCGGACGAAATGAACAATACCCCCGACCTGGCCGAGAAGAAAAAATTCCTGACGGCCTTCAACCTATCACACGTCCTCCCCGACAGGAGAAAGGGTACGGGGCACTTGTCCTGATTTACTACTAATGTCTTTCACTGAGACAGGCGCACGTCGGGGGCTTTGAGCTCACGGTCCAGACTCACGCCCCAATACGTTACCAAGCGAGGCAAGGGGTGGGCCACCAATCCAGATGCCGTCCCCCCCACCCCATTGGATGAGATGTTGAGGGAACCTCAGAAGTATCCCATGGCACTGTTGATAAAGAGAAGGGAGTTCCTCTCTCATGGTGTCCCAGCAAATGCCCCAATCCTCTGGACCATGTTTTTAAAAGAAGTTGGACAATGGGAGTTAACTAGTAGAGAGAACCTTATCTGGGGTGGGGCGGGGTGGGGGAGATGGGGAGGGTGAGGGGTGTGTGAACCAGATGGAGATCAAGAACGGTGACTAAACTCTGCACCTTGTTCTCCCCAACAGAAAAGGAAGACCTTGCAGTAATGATCCAGTCCCTGAGGCACAAGCCTTTGCCGTCGGAAACGCCTTCGAAGCAACTCCTGCTTCCTGCGTGCCGGAGCTCCAGCTCGTCACAAGCCGGTGAGCCCACATCGGGGAGGGGGGGTGGGTGGGGGGGGGAAGAGGAGGTGTGGCGCATGATGTGGGGAGGGGCGGTGACAGAGTCATTGTGTCAGCTTGGCGCAGTGGTGTGTTTTGATATAGCCCATCATGTCCAATCATGTCGTTGAGACGTTTCAAGGGGCTTCACAGAATACACCGTAAAGGGATATTGACCGCGTACTTTTTGGGCGAAAAAAACGCGGCAGCCAATTGCGCAGAGAGAGCAGCTTGCGTTTAAAAATAGAACCCATGCACGTGGGTAAAGCCTCGGGAGCGTTGCAGGCTTGTCCTGGCGAACGGGATTCCACAATATTAAGGACGAGGATTTTTTATTTATTTTTTGTTTTGTTCCCTTTTTCACGCTCGCATGACTTCTCCTTCTCTTCGTTTAAAGACGCGTCGAACGTTCCTCCTCCGGCATCGGACACGTCCGACGGGCCGCCGGTGGCCGCCGCCCCTTCCTATTCCCAGCCGGAACGCCACCACAGGCCGGAGCCAGCCAAACCCTCGGAGCCGGTCAGGCCGAAGGAAGCCGCGCACAACGCCGAGAAGAGCCGGTCGAACGAGACGCACCACGGGAAGAGGACTCTGAGCCTGCTCGGCAACGTGCCGGCCCGGCGGCAGAAGGACTTGCCGGCCGGAGGGCTGCACAGCGCGGCCGAGAGGAGCAGGGCCTGGCAGGGCATCCTGGCTGAGGACTTTGCCCATCAGTTCCATGAGTCCGTGCTCCAGTCCACCCAGCGGGCGCTACAGAAACAGAAAGGTAAACACAGCCAGGCCAACAACAAAAAAAACATAAACCCAGGCCCTGGCTTAGAGACAAGAGAGCGCAGATGTCAGCTGTGATTCCCACTGCTAAAGCTCTCCCCCCTCCTCCCCCGGCCTCTCCTCCCCCCCCCCCCCCACATTCCGTTACCCGATTTTAAGTTCTCAGTCTGGTTTTGACGCTCTTCAGGCATGGTCAAGGGTTTCCACATGTGATTTTCCCCCTCGGGGGACAGGGTGCTGTGCGTTAGCAACATATCTCGCTGACAGGCAATCATGGAGCCGATTCATACATAGGTACACACTCTCGTGCCCTCTGTCACACACACCCACACACACACACACTCTTGCAAGCACTCACATGCTTTCACTCACGCACACACACTCATGCACACACACTCACGCGCACACACACGCGCAAACGCGAGTCCCATCGCTGTACTCTGCTCAGTGTGTTTGGAGTCCTTGTTGCCCATTATTGTGGAATATGAGGCAGGGGCAGGGAGTTATCCCCCGCTGTGTGTAAACCTGCTCCAGGCTGGAGCTCCCTTGCAAAGCATCCAGTTAAGGAGCGGAGCCTCGGACTAACTGAATTCCTCGCTCGGTTCCCTGTGGGAATTACACATGAGTGTTTGTTCGTCTTTCATTAGTTTGGGTTGAAACTCAAACCCTGGCGAAAATATTGCAGGCTCTTGTCAAGGGGTGATTGGGGTGCGCGGGGGGGAAGCGAGGGGCTGGAGAACTCAAGTTGACTTGTGACTGGTGCGGTGTGTAGAGGTGGCGTCGTCTGTAGCCAGTGAGGTTGTGTTTGGCTCTGCGGGTCTGTGCAGTGGTGGACAACCAAGCTTTGTTGTTGTTGTTGTTGATATTGACGCTCTTGATGGTCACCACCCTGCCCTTCTTGTCCGATCCCCGCTCCAGGCTCCGCGGCAGCCGAGCAGAAGCACAAGTTGGACGCAGCCGTCCACTACAACATTCCAGAGATGCACTCCTCGCCCCGGGCGCTGTTCACACATCAGAACGGGCAGCACTCGGCCACGCAGACGAGGAAAGGGACGCCGGTGGAGCGGGAGGAGGGCACGGATGTGGAAGACGAGGAGGAGGAGGAGGAGGAGGACGAGGAGCTGAGACCTTCCCATTCCAAGTGGCAGGGCATCGAGGCGGTCTTCGCCGCGTACCAGGAATACGTGGAAGGTACGGGCACGCCGACGTTCCTTGTCTCGGGATCGGCGCTCTAATGTTCTCCATGAATCTGTCTGTCCGGTGGACTCAGTCCTTTGCGCTGGGGCGCAGGTTGCGTGACGGGATTTGGGCTTCTCAGAATGACAGGGTTTGTGTGCGTGTGTGTGTTTTTTTAAAACAGAACAAAACATGGAGCGACAGGTCCTACAGACGCAGTGTCGACGGCTGGAGAACTTTCACTATAATCTCAGTCTCACAGCCGAGCAGCTTTCCCTCAGCATGTCGGTGAGTGTGAGCAACGAACTCTGTTGTGCCGAACGAGCCCTTGAGCAGAGTGAGGGGTTTGTGCCCCCAAAAGATGGCCAACAATCCTCCAAAATAAAATTGGTCGCTCGCTCACTCACTCACTCCACGGCTGGTTTGTGGGACATTGCAGGGTGCAATTATCTGCCGTGTTTCGCCCACAAACGTATACGCAGTCAATTCACTTCACAGTATATCTCGTGAAGCTCTTTGAGACGTCACAATAGCGCGATAAGGCTCTGTATCAAATGCGAGGATTATTCTTATTATTAATAACGTGACCCACTGGCACTAACTCTCTGATTCTCTCTGAAACACACAGGAGCTGTTGTCACAGAAACAGAAACTGGCCTCTGAGCGGGAGCAGCTCCAGTCACAACTGGAGCATTTAAGAAAGTGCCTTGCACTGCCTGCGATCCACTGGCATAGGAGCAACTGCAAGTCCTACCCAAGGTGACACGCCTGTCAGCTCGGGCCACACCATAGAGAAAATATTTTATTATCCCGATATTTAATATTCCCATTGAAATCGACCCTGTAGATAAAGACCTAAAGGAAACGTGCCACATGTGAAGCGAAGGGTTAAAACGAAACCAGGAAATGAATGAACTTTGCAATGCAACTAAAAACATGACTTCTGCATCTCTCTATTTTTGCATAAATTGGCCTAAAGGAAACGTGTTTCCCCCTCCCCCTCCTCCCACCCCCCCCCAATCTTGTTTGAGTTTCTGATCATTTTATTTGCTCGGCCCCTGTACACAGTGACTTTTGCTTTGTGGAGAAGGCAAGTGGGGTTTAGGGCTGAACTCCAGAGTCAACACCACTGAAGGCCTGGGGACAGCTAGCGCGTGTGTGTGGGTGCGTGCGTGCGTGCGCGCATGTGTGTGTGTGTGCATGCGGCTTTCATTCCCACGTCCTGTGCTCGGGCGCTGGCATGTTCGGTGACTCAGGCGCGAGACGGGAAGATTCGCAAAGTGCTGGGGGAAACGCCAACCGAAGAACCTCTCCCTCATTCTTTATTTCTTTCTCTTTTTCTCTCTCTCTCTCTCTCTCTCTCTATATATCCCCTTTCTCGCCCCCGAAATCTTTGATGCTTGGTGGAAATACCAGCTCGTTCTACCCTCCCTCTCTCCCTCTCTCCCTGCCTCGCTCATTCGCTGTCTTGCCTTTTTGCTCCACAGCCTGAACCAGCCTCGCACAAGACAATGTGAGACCCACTGATACATTAAGGCCCTTTACAGCAAATGCACTTAAAAAGCTCATTGAAGGCGTCTTCTCAAAGTAGTGTCTTTTTTGGAGGGCTTGGTTGATCTGTTTCTTGTCCGATTATACGAAAAAGGTGCTTGACGTGAAGCCAAGAGTGTGAGCGAGCGTGTGCGTGCGTGTGTGGGTGTGCATGCGTGTGTGGGTGCGTGGAATCAAAAGGTAAAGTGTCGACATTCATCCCAAGGGCGTTGTGTTTTTTTTCTATCTTATCTGACGAAGTTTTAAACAAAAAAAGGAATTTTTTCACATTTTAAAAAAAAAAGAAACAAAGGTGCTGAAGCCTTGCACTGTATATAGGAGAAAACAGAATTTTTGTATGTTTTTATTACCTTTAATTATTATTAAAAGCTTGCCATTTTTAAAGATGTCCCATTCCCGTTAACTCCCTTGCTTTCTGCTCTCAGCCCACCCTCCCTCCCTTCCCCCACCTCCCCATCGCTGCTGGTCGAGAAAAGAATTGAAGTGCTTCACGGAAAAGGAGGGCGGGGGGGAGAAAAGATTTGACGCTTTCATAAAAAAGGATTACAAAGGAAGTTTTCACTGGTGCATGGACAGTACAGCACAGAGGCCTCTCCTCTTCCTCCCCGTGTGCTTGAGAAAAATGAGCGTCACTGGTATATTTTGGCTGTATCAGCTACTCTACCATTTCTCTCTTCTTTCCTCCCTTCCGCTCCCTCCCCCACCCCCTTCCATCCACCGTGCACTGAGACCCTCACCTCCTCCACCCATAAAACGCACTTTCTCATATCACCTCCCCCATCCCCACTGAATTTACGACTGATTTTCCACTGCTTCTTTCCGCGGGAAAATTAATCTGAAAGTTCATTTCACGTTTCGCACATCCACAGGTCTTGAGACGTGGTTTACAGGCAAGAAAATCCCATAATCTCTTCTCTGCCCGACCTCCCCCCCCCCCCCACTCCCCCCTTAATTTCACACGGCCCACTGTTGAGATTACATAGTGCGGAGTTGATGGCGGGGGTCTTTAGATGTGAAATGAGGGGCTTTGATTGATTGCAGTGGCTTCTAAATGAAGCAGGAGCAATTTGCGGAGGTGGGGCGGAAGAAGAGAGCAGCCCAATCATTGACACCAACAATCTTTTGTAAGTGTTTAGAATGAGGAACGATTGCTTGTATCGGTGAAGATGACAATATAGATCTTTCTCTCCCGCTTGGCCTCCCTCCCTGTGCGGTGATGTTCAGAACCTTGCAGGGAATGCAGGAGAGGTCTGTGCCTTCCGCAGCTTCCATTGCCAACAATCCAACTGCCTCACTCTTCCGTTTGTCCCAAGGCAGCAAGCGGGCTGGATCACCTCCCACTAACTCCTGCAAACGCTGACCTTGTGTGTTGTGTGTGGCTTTTAACCCCAGAGAGGTTAGTAGTGTTTCACATAGGCTCTGTCCAACGTACGTCTAGGTGTTCAGGTGTCCATCCGCATCTCCACGGTACTCATCTCCATGCACTAAGGGGTAACGTTTGCTGCGCCTAATAATTAATGCCGGCGTTAATTACCAAGCCTTGCAAATTTGCCCCTCGAGTTCACCAGTGCCCCTAGTATTCACTGATCGCTGTGAGGATGTTGAACGAGGGATACCTTCCTGAGCTCTCTGTGGAGTAGACCTCACCGAGTTCACATGTCACAAGGTAGCGGTGTGTTGATCATGACCTAATCACAGATGCCAACTATGTATTGGACTCGAAGGTGATGAACCTCAATGCTCACTATCTAAAGGACCCAGGTGATCGAACGCTGAGCACTTTGGAAAGTATCTGTGGAAACTGATCCCAGGGGATGGAATAATGGGAGTGAAAGTGTCCGGGAAGGGAGAAAATTGGTGGAGGGTGGGAGATAAAGGAGTTGCCAAACTAGTGGTAGGTGAATTCTATCTGGGGTGGGGGTGGGGCGCGGCGGTGGTGGGGGGTGAATTCTATCTGGGGGGCTGCATTGCCGTAGCCCATCGCTAATAAGCCACAACCCGCCTGCCTTGCACCTCTGTTGTTCTGCTGAACAGACATATCCTTAACAAGCCATTGCACCTGAAAAAAAAGACCTGCCATTAATGAGTGAACTTTTTGGTTCTGCATTTCTGCCACAGTCTGTGCACATTTGATCTAGAATTTTTTTTCTCTCTCGAGGGAGGAAGGTGACTTGATCCCACTATAATATGGGGAGGGTGGGGGGGGAGACGTGGGGAGAGGTTGATGCTGTGAAGATCCTGTTTTAAGTGTATTTGAATTTATTGTAATGTAATATATTATTTGTTGAATGTAGTAATTAGGTATTTATGAATATATTGCTGTAATTTCTGACAAAAATAAAAATTAAAAATCTTGTACAAATGCGTGGTTAGCTTGTTGGTTGATGGAATTGGCAAAGTGTTGGATCCTCATCAGTCTGAGCTTGAATCACTCTTTTTGTATTTATATATTATTTCTGTGTTAACTGAATTGACTGGTTTGTGTATGTGGGACACTGCTGTGCTAAATTTATTACTAAAATTGAGTGCTTTACAATATATTCTGATAACATATAATGTAATAAGGTGCTATATCAAATGCATCGATTATTATTACTATTTCATAACCACCTTTCTCCTCCCCGCCCCCCTCGGCTCCCACCCTCAGCTGAAGTACAGAGGGCTTTGAGGCGTCTTCTCGACATGAAAAGCGCTGCATAAATGTGAATTTGTCTTGTGTTGCAGAAATGTGTCTAAAAGCAGGAGGTCCAAGCTTCTCGCTGAGTCTGTCCAGCAATCAGGATAGGAACTGCCGTTTGGCATTGCTCGGGAACTGCCATCTGCTTCTGATTTATCCCAACACATGTGGTCGAGTGTTCCCACGGACTGTTTGTTACAAACGTTGGCATTGGATTCAAACGTTCCTGCTTTTGACTCAGTGAATGTATTCTTTTTTTAAAAAAAACATTTGTGATAAATGGGAGCCAGAGAAATGGGATCCAGGTGAAGGGAGTGGGGTTCAGTGGCTTTTGCCATGACGGACTACACTACACTGCACCCCACCTCACTTCTAAGCAAGTTGGAGACGAGAGTCTTCTCTCTGCGGGTGGTGCTTTGGTCTTTCTGCAACAGCTTACAGCGAGGAAGGCCCTTTGACCCATTTGATCTCCTCCCTGAGGAAAACCCAACCTCCCCTCCTCCCATCACAAGCTTCCTGGCTGATTTAGGGCGTTTCTCTCCTGGCCAACAATCACCCTGATTAAATTGGATGTTCACTTCAAGGCTATTTGGGCTTTGTTGTGCGTAAATAGCCTGCCTTGTTTCCGTTTACTACCCCACTTGAAGTTCTCATTTGCCTACAAAAACACACAGTCACTACACTTTACAGTCAATTCAGCAAAGCGCTTTGAGACATCCTACCGACCTGAAAGACGCTGTGTAAATGTAAACTTGTATTGTCCTGCAGTACAGTTGGGAGACTGGTTCAGTGAGTTCATCTACACCAATGGTAAAAATGCCAATAATAATAATAATATGTCTCAGTATCTCATGCTTATATGGGAATAAAAGGAAACTGAATGTCAGATCTTCTCAGCCGGAGATTCAGGGGGAAGGGGGGAGAGGGGGTTTGTTTCACGAAATAGGATGAAAGAAAGAATGAAAGTCGCCAATGTGGATTCAATCAGAATGCCACAGGGAGTAGTCAGGAAGTGGGGAGGAGGACAGTGGTGGGTTTGTGAGCTCCTCGAGAGGGTTCGGGGGAGTGGGGGTGTGGGGCTTGTGAGGGGGGGGAATTGATTGGCGGGGCCGGAATGGTGCAGGGGGCAGAGGTGGGTGTACAGGCGAGAGAGGGTGTGTGAGGTGCGAGGGGGTGGAGGTTAGCTGTGAGACTTCTCTGGTCCTTCCCCAACATGTTCACAGTGTAGTTACCAACAGGCGTCACTGGATGTTGGCTTTAAGCTGGCTGATTGCAGCTATGAAGTGTTTGGAGATGTTCTCCTGATGCGAAAGGTACGAGATAAATCTTAACTTGTTGTTGATCTCTTTTTCTTGCGCCAAAGCCAATTGTAGCCTCTCAACTCCCTGATCATTGAGCTCAGCGCAGGTCGGGAACACAAGCTGCAAGTTTCTCTTGTCCCTGTGAGCGTTTGTCAGGACATTGGAGAAGGAATGGGGATGAGGAAATACAGCGTGATTACAAAAAGGCCAAAGACAGTAATAATAATCCTTGGATTTGGTGCCTTTCACGTCGGCAAGAACTCCTCAAAGCGCTTCACAGGATTCATTGTAAAGTATAGTGACTGTGTATTTTGCATGCCAATGCGGCAGCCAATTTGCACACAGCAAACTCTTACAAACAGCTGTGAAGTGAACGAACAATTTAATTCGAGGGGATTGTCGACCAGGACAATGGGAGAGAGAAACTTCCCTTCTCTTTCCCCGAGGGATCTTAAACGTTTCCCTGAACAGGCACGGACGGGGTTTAACATCTCATCCGAAGGGCAGCCTCCACCTGTGCTGAGAATTCCTGCGATTCAAAGAGGGAATTAACGGTGTGTTCTGATTATAGGAAAAATGGTTTTATTATATTATGTCCTCCGATGGAATTGCCTTCATCGGATATTGCTTTATATTGGTAGAGATTCTGCCTCATTAGCTTTGCTGATACAGCACATAAAGTGCCATTATTCACCCTATTAAATTCTCTCTTCATTTCAGATCTTCCCATTTTTATAGCTACTGTTGCAGTGATGTTTACTATGCCCTGGGTCCTTTACAGACAGACCATTATGAATTTACCAACCTCCTATTGACAAAAAAAACAACAGAAA